GCCTTTGAGAAAGTGCACTTCGACGCGAGCTAGTCAGCCAGGCAAGACCCGCCACAACTCATCGTGTTTTCGCCGCGAAGCCTGTCAGTCCTGCCTGCTCGCATGTACCTCGGACGCTCTTGTTCGATCTGCCGGGAATTCCGTCCACCAAACAGTGTGACCCATTTCCTGATCGGTTGTAGGACGGGTGAGGTGTCACCTCTAACCCTGCACAGAAGCGCAGAACACAGTAGAAAGGACACAACAACTGCCCTGTTTACTGGGAGCAGCTTGTTTCCTCAGAGCCTTTTGTGAGCTCCTTTTCCTACAGTATACTGTCCTACCTAATTGGTCTTACTTACTTGTACTTGTTACGACTGTGATTATGCCTGATCTAGACAGCCTCGATGATGTCACGGACGGTACCTCTCCATGCGTGACGATTGGCGGCAGTGGCGCTGGAGAGCTCTGCCCAGTCTCTCCTCCAGCACCAGAGACCGAATACCGAATGTCCAAGAACCACTTCCATGTCCTGACGGACTGAGCCGAGCCAGGTTTTGAGTTAACCACCTCTTCGACGTTTCTAATTAAGCAACAGTCGCATGTCGAGGGCAGTAGCACTGAACTTCTGAGGTTGAAAACGAAAAACTTGTCCAAAGCACCTCATTTGTCTTTCCTGAATGGCCTGGGATATTCTTGTGATTTTGTCGCAGCGATTGCGGACTGTCTTATTTGAGACGAAGTTGGTGTACTTCATTCGAAGGATGGTCCTCAAGCAGTAGTGGTCAAAGACTTCCAGCTTCCGTTCATCTTCCACGCGGATAGCCTATCATTCGCATCCGTATAGAAGAACGGACCGCACAGATGCACGGTACACGCAGATCTTTGTGGAAATATAACTATTTCGTCAGGTCCGTAGGCACTTCCGAAGGCTGGAGAAATCTCGTCGTGCTGCGTCAATTCGGGAGACACTGTCATCTTTACTCTGTCAATTCGGCAGCAACCTCTCTCCGAGGTATTTGAAACCGTCTACTTCTTCAAGTTGACAGCCACTAATCTCGAGAGGTGCCTTCTCTTGGTCTTCCCAGTGTTTATGGACCAACTGACCGATTTTGCGACCTCATTCATTGGTGACACCATAGACTGCAGATCGCCAAAGCTTGAATCTAGTAAAGCGATATCATCCGCATAGTCGAGGTCAGTCAAACGGCGCCCGGATGCAAGCTCAAAACCATCATTTTCCTGTATGGCCTTCCCGAGAACCGAGTCAATGGCGTAGTTAAAGAGGATGGGCGACAGGACACGGCCTTGTCGAACGCCAAACCGAATAGCGAAGGGTTCTGAAAAGTTGTTGTGGAGTAGAACCCACGCAGTGGTGGAGCGGTAGTATGCCTTGATTATGTCGATTTTTGGTGGTACACCATCAAG